AAGGAGGTTACAAGGTTAAAAGTATTCTTATTTTAGCAGATTAGCCTTCGCTCAACACTGGAAACAACATCAAACTCCATCAGAAGAAATGATTATTGAAAAAATCTCAAAATGCTACGAAATGGATAAATTGACTTTGGCGCTAAAAAACAAAGACACTTCACTATATTACGATGGCTGGAATTGTTGGTATAATTGGATTGACCAAAGATAAATTATATATCATAAGGCATAAAAGAAAAGTATCAACCCATAATAACAAGGTAGCGATATAAGTAAAAAACAGGTGTGGTTATATGACACAAGTTAAGGTTATGAAAACAAAAGAACAGTCTTGCAAACTGTTAAAAAAATTTTTTTTTATCCTTTGTTCTAAGTTGGTTATCTCCTTGGTTAGTTTCCAGACGTTGTTTCTTATTTTGCCTTTTGGTACTTTGGAAAATAGTTTCCCACCCACCCCAACCTCTCAAAGGTTGCCACAAAGAAGAGGGAGTCAACCTATTCCCCGAAGCACCTGAAGGCAGGACAAGAAGCAACGGATGGAAACTGAACAAAGAGAGAAGCAACTTAGAACTAAGGAGAAATTTCTTGACAGTTAGAACAATTAATCAGTGGAACAACTTGCCACCAGAAGTTGTGGATGCTCCAACACTGGAAGCTTTTGAGAAGAGATTAGACGACAATTGTCTGAAATGGTATAAGGTTTCCTGCCTAAGCAGGGGGTTGGACTAGAAGACCTCCAGGATCTCTTCCAACTCTGTTACTCTCTTATTCTCCAATATTTTGATCTGCCTTGTAGGACATTTTCTAAATGGAATCTGCCCTTATTCATCCTGATCTTACAGTGACCTCCCAAAGAAATAGTCTCCTGCCAATTTCTCCCTTTCTTAATTGAATTGCACGTTAATTGCAGATTTCCTTGAAGCAACAGAGGTTGCAACCAATTTAGCAGTACGGATACATAACTGAGTCTTTTCTTTACTTATTCTGTTCTACAAGGCAATCAAAGCAATGTGTGCATATCTATCTGTCTGTGACACATACATACAACAGCTCGCCCTCAACTTAGAACCTTAAAGG